TACTATAGGAGCAAGGACGCTACTAGGGGCTCCTGGCATCGCTACTAGGAGCAAGGACGCTACTAGGGGCTCCTGGCCGTACTACTAGGAACAAGAAGCTACTGGGGGCTCCTATTTGCTGAGGAAGCAAGCCGGCCTTCACATCCATCCACGCCCTGTGGGACAAGTTCGAGGTTGGAGAGAGACTTGGTGAGCTTCCCTCCACTGAACTGAACTCATTGAAAATTACTTCAATTCATCCGCACTCATCCATGGCTAGTTGCTACTAGGATGGAGGCCATCGCTACTAGGGTGGAGGCCATCGCTAGCCATCGCTACTAGGGTGGAGGCCATCGCTACTAGAATCAAGTCATTCGCACTCATCCATGACTAGGTGCTTTCTGTTCCTGGCCTAAGGAAGGGCCACATGACGAAGGATGAGTGGCTGAACCTTTGCACTCGGGTGAGGACGAAGTTGCCGAAAAATGCACAGCTGGATATTTGGAGCCAACTGGCCTGGCGTGACAAGGCCCTGTGGCAACTCAGCTTCGCTCTTGTGTTTTTGACCCCGCTGTTCAGGTGAAAATTCAGAAACAAGACTTTGTGGCTGGCTGGCACATCCATGAAGCTTGCAGAGCAAGGATGTATTGCCCTCCGTTTACACGGAGCATAAGCGCTCTAGACATGTCAGCAAAAGCGCTCTTGCATTCCTGAGATGATAGGCAGCTAACTTGAATGTGCTTTCTGTTTTTCCATGTCTTTCCTTATTTCTTGCCATGTTTTCTCTAAGGACCCGGAACTGAACGATGTGCATATCAAAAGCACCGCTGAGAATCTCAAGCTCGAGTGCCCTCTCTCGCTCTCTTTGGTCTTGGCATGCTGACAGTGCGATCATAAGAGGCAGATGTTGCTGACCCGCCTGTTTCATGCAACAACATGATATGAGCTTCACCTGCAGGTACTATGGCATGTCTGTCGAAGAACTTCAGGAACGCATGAGGCCGCAAATGCATGGTTTCTCCTACCTTTTGGGAGCTTACAATTCGCACTGGGATGAGCTTGGGTATGTATCATGTACATTGCGGACCGAGTACACCGAGCGTCTCGGGCGACAGCGGACAGGACCCGCCTCGCGGAGGATGCGGAAGTGAACTTCTCAAGACCTGGCGAGCGCAAGGTTCACTGCTAAGAGGTTTGAAACGACAACAAAAGAGACACCAATTGGATCCAAGATAAGTTAGGGAGATCTTGTTTGAAGAGACAGGTCTGAAATTTGGAAGCAAGAACTTGACTACATCACGTGTGAATGTGGCACACTGACACACATGTCATAATATTGTCATCATATATATCATTTTTGTTGGTGTCTCTCTCTCCTTGTCTCTTTGCCAGGGCAATACCATTGTCTCTCTTCCGATGGGTGAGGGCGAGCGCCGATTCGACGTCCGTGACGTGCGCGAGCGCGATGGCATTTGGTGACATCGAAGAACCGGTGCCGCAGCACGTTCTAACTCGGGCGCTGCATCTACCGGCAGCACGCTTCTCACGGAGCACGTTTCGATTCTTGCCAGGGAAGCCTGAATACAATATACAGTATACACCTATATATAATTACTTTTACACAAACATTAATTGATGTTACTTTCAGTATGATGTCGAAATGTGCGTTTGTCAAAACATAAGAGGCTGAAGGCACCAAGCCTTCGGGGGTTCCGGGTTTCCCGAGCCCTGCTTGCCCACATGCCCCGACTCGAACAAGACGTTTGAGTGGCGTAGAACCTGCTCAGTCTGCAGGCGGACCAACCAAGGCTGCAACCTGCCCTAAGCAGAAACACGAGCAGAGGCCTGCTGTGCCCATCTGAGGGTTTGATATTCAGATGTAAAAGATTTAGTAGCGTCTCTCTGCCCTCAGGCCGATACAGGCCAACTGATACCTACAATTGATTGGTCGTGAACAACTCGTTTTGAGCAGGAGCATTCGTACCCCTGCAGGCAAGCGACTTGGAATCCTCATTTGAAGCGTATTGAACCGATCCAAGCAATACTCACTGCTCCTTTCACTGAAAAAAGGCTCCAGCAGCCAGCGTTGCTTTGTCAAATCTGAGCAAGCTGGAGGGTTTGTCAATCAAAGTGTCGAGCTCAGAAGGACTTTGTTTGAGGGCGTGACCATACTTGACAAACCCTCATGTACATAGCGAGGATGGACTAATCACTAATCCATCGGCTGGCACAAAAGGGCATGAAGCTGTGGCAGCAACCGACAATGTGTTATGTCCCCTGTATGTGTCATTTCAATTCATGATGCGCATTGGTGCAAGCAAAAAGAGTAGATGTTCCAAATGACACCAAATCAGTTGGGGATCAAAGAGACACGTACTTTTCATTTTGTTACTAGTAGCTTCAAAAGACCGTTCCTAGTAGCTTCTTGTTGCTACAGGTGAAACGATTCCCAAGGCAGCTGAATAAGCTACTAGTAGCTTCTTGTTACTACTAGTAAGGCACTTGTTACTAGAAGCGATGCACTTGTTACTAGTAGCTTATTCATTTTGTGTAAGTTTGTCAGCTCCCAATTCCACAACTCCATTCCCGCAGTTGAAGAGCCCCTGCATGCACCTTCAACCTTGGCAGGGCCGGGGGAAGAAGCGTCAGCGTGATGAAGAGGTGCTCGAGCTCAGATTCAATGGGATTTGAAGGTTAGTCCGAAAGACAATCTTACGGACCTACGGATTCGTTCGCAGAAAGCCACGCTGCACATAATAACTTTCCCAGGTGCTTGATTTGATCCCAAGTTGACAGCGGGTCACTCTTGGGGTAGAGCCAAGTTCGAGGTTGCTCAGGACGCTAGATTTGAAGCCTATCCTACTATGCTGATTTGAAAGATTCGGTGATTCGATACTGAAAGTCCAGCCTCGCAAAAAGCAGCATGTGCAAGCCCGACACGCTATGGGCACCCAAACGTAGAAACGCCGACTCCAGCGTTGGCCTTTCGTCAGGGACATCAACTCGTAGTGCTCAAGCGAAGATGGGGTGGATTAAGGCCATCGCTATTAGCTTGGAGGCCAATCCTACTAGGAACAAGAAGCTACTAGTAGCTAGAAGGTTCCTTGGGAATCGTTTCACCTGTAATAACCAGAGGCTACTAGGGTGGAGGCCATCGCTATTAGCCCAATGGGTGAACAGACGGACTGGACTGGCACCTCTTCAGATCGCTTGCGAGGCTGCCAGTTCGGAGGCCGAGCACCGAGGAAAATTGGAAAACAGTATGGTTTGTAGATAAATATCGATACAAACAGACATAACATAATACAATATCATAATATTATGTGCTGTATATGTTGCAGAATGTTCCTTTGTTTGACCTTTATTGTGAACCCCTGGCAGTGATACATGGGATTGGAGCTTCACAATCTTGTAGCAGGACTGTTTGAGAACTCCCAAAGCGCAACAGAGCTGGCAGAGCTGGAGACTGGATCGTCGCAAAAAGAGTTCTCCATATCCAACTAATCCAGTATAATTGCTGTTTTATGTTTGGAACTTCTTCCAGGCCCGGAATGGAACATGCTGAAGATTCCGATGGGTTGATTGTCATTGTTGCCATTTTTTTGGTGAAGGTATATTGTCGTTGGATCCATTGCTAAAAAAATCCGCCCACACCGCTTGTCGGTGCAGGGAATGCTATTGGGGCTCTTGCCTTCGAGCTTTTAGCAAAAACATCCTATAGGCATATAGCTCTGCTAGGGGGGGCTCTTTTTTCGCGCGCGCGGCTATGGTTGGGCTGCAGGGCCACTGGGGAGAGCGTTTTGGAGGAGTTTTGTGTTTTGGGGTACTGGGGACAGCATTTTGGAGGTGTATTTTTGGATGGCTTGGCAAGGCCGAAGTTGTATCACCGTTATGGGCCCCAAGGTAGACGAAGTTGGCCCCAAGATGGCTCCAACGCAGCCGTAAGACAGCCAACCTCACGCCTAGATGGCTGCACTTGTCCCCAACCTGGCGCCTAGATGGCCACTTCCATTTCACTCGCTTCGGCTGTTCGAGCGCAGTGTGGGCGGCTGTCGACGCGAAGTGTCTTGAACAGTGGGTGAGTGACTCTGAATCAATTGCCACCTCCGTCGATTGCGAAGCCATCACTTGAAAACCTGATTCTTGTGGAGAGTCCTGGTGGCTTGGAAAGGATAGCACCATTGACAGAAGATGACTCCTGTATCAGTCTCGAAAAGAACCGTGAGGTGAGTAATTTGAAAATGCTTGAAATATGGTTTGTGAACACCCTGGAGGCCATTGTGAAGGGCCGCTATGACTCCCTGAAGACTTTGGTCGCACGGTGTTTTGCGCCGCTTGGCCGCAGATTTGCCGTGAGTCAGCTACAACGCGTCGCCGTGGGTTTAAGCTGAAGAAATGTAAATAGCGGTCGCGTGGTGAGCCTTTGATCATGTCCAAAACTTCTAGACACGTCAGATTTTGCCAGGAAGCAGCGGGTTTCCTCGATCGGCCGTTTGGAGCTGCTGGAGATGGCAACTCGTCTTCCTTTGTTTTCGAGTCTTCTCGCCATTTTGCTCCGAAGCGAGTTGACACCCTTAATCCTTCCAAACTTTGGCAAATACGGTGCACCGACATGAGCGAGTTTAAAGGACAAGGATGTTGATAAGTAAGACAAAAATATGATGTAAAGCAAAATGAACAACTCCAACAAATATATGCATGGATATAATAGTGGATATGATATATATATATAAAATGATATGAATTTGTGATGTATGCATGTTGCTGCTCTTTGAAACAAATTCTGCAGTTACCTATAGTTCATTTTCATTGCTCAGGTGAACAATGATTTGGCTCCAGGGGAAGCTCGCTTTGAGGAGCCCGAGCTGGATGCCGGCCTGGCCAAGCCCGGAAGCCTACCGAAGCCTACCGAGCCTACCGGCTGTCAAAAAGGGCCGAAGAAGGCTTCTTTAATCAGGGCCCCAGAATGGCCGGGGTGAGAAATGAACAGAAATGATTGGTTTTCACTTTTCACCGTAGAACAAAAGGCAGCTCACTCGACCACTACATGGGAAGAGCTCGAACACAAGCCACAAGCAGGTCTTTTTCAAGATTTTTCCCTCCAGAACCCTGCCTTCCTGTCATCCTGATAGGCGGAGCTTTTCAGTTTGGAGCTAAGCACCTACACCCTGTTTGACAGGATGGAAGCAGCCAACAAGATCATGATTGACGACACTGGTGATGAGGCCATTCCTGTAAGTAGTATTCAAGAGTACTGTGGGAGGCGGGTTGCATCGCAACCTGGAGGTGTATACGGGTGTACTATGTTGCACGTCTCAAGAGGATCAGACTTGCATGCACTTCTCGGCTTCTAGTTGGAGCTTTGTTGGACATCGCCTGGAAAAGCAAACGGTTTGCCTCTAAACATAACGAGGTTCTCATGTTTGAGGATTGCCTGTTGAAAGCAGCTGGCAAGGTGATTTTCGTGGGCTGAGTGAGGCAGTGTGAGGGGTTGCCGCCAGCCAAAACACGAGCGATTTGGATGAAACTATGACACAAAGCTGTGACGTTCACCTAGTGCAGAGGACCAAGCAGGTCCTCCTTGCTTTTTAAAAGAGTTTTAACGAGCAATAGGAATCCACACTTCAACTCACAACTGTAAAATTCAGAAGCAAAGCCTTTGGAAGATCCTCTAACATCATTCCAAGCCAGCCAAGCGCTGTTAGGTTCCTTAAAGTCTTTTTCTTAACGTATTTTCTACAAGGCATGTTTTGCATGTAAAAAAACAGCTTCCAGATTCCAGACGCGCTGAACCTTCGGTCTGACAAGATTGGCCGGTGGGAGCTAGGAGTTCCGCACTCCACGGGAGCGAGTGCAAGATAGTTGGTATCTGCCCGGATCTTTCTGAAAAGCTTGCTGAGGCAACTTCCAGGATTTCTTTCTGACTCATCCAGGATGATCCCAAAATGAAACATTAAAAAACGACCAGTCAGGAGGATGGCCAGTGTTGGCAGGTCTTCTTTGGGACACATATTTGTATCTGGCGCGGGCAGGTCCCATGTTTTTTTTTGGGTCACGAGGTGTGACGATGTCGAGGCACCCGCATCGGATGCATCGGATGCCGTCGTGTTTGATTCTGCCGGGGTGTTTGTTGGTTTCGCCTTCAAACGGGGCAGGTCTTAGGGAACCAGGTCCTGCCATGGCTGGACCTTGAAGTGGAAACGTTCTACGGAGATGAATGAGAGAAACAGGAATTGCTTGGGGTCCAACCTTGAGGGTGTTCACTGTGTTCACCCTTTGCAGACCTGGCAGCGGCAGGGTATCACAAAAGGTGGAGCGAGCTGCGCTTGTGTGTTTTTTTGTTCAAGCCCTTTGAGTTGGATTCCTCTGAGATACGTCGAGCTGCTGTGCCCGAGATGTCAACGAACATACTATTTTCATTGACATCCATACCGATACCGATACATCAAAGCATGACAAGCAGTCAAAATATGCCCGAAGAGTCCTATTGTGAAGCATTTTCTTTGCGATCCTACGATGTCCTACGGGTATCACGAAAAATGCATGCTCAGCAAAAGTTGTGGATTAGAGGTCCTGTTCGTTTTTTGCAAGGGTACTAGGAGCGATCGGACGCTACGTTCGGGGCTCCTGGCATCGCTACTAGGAAGGGTGATCTCCCAGACACATCCCGATGTGGACGGGTCTGATCTGAGGTCCAAGCCAAGAACCGCCGAAATGTGGAAGTCCTCTACGAGTACCTCATGCATCGGCTCTATGAAAGGGCTTCCCAGTGGACAACATTTGACTTTGCTTTCTTTTTTGCAGGTTGGAATCCATCGCTTTTAGGTTGAAGGCCATTAGATTGGAGACCATTGGTATTAGGTTGGGGGCCATTGCTTTTGCTTTTGACCTCCTTTACATTCCCTGGCTACTGGACCACGGAATGCACGCCTTACACCTTACAAGAAGCCCCAAAACGGAACTCTACGAGCTCGTCAAATTGGCTGACAAAGTTTGCCCCATAATTAACATCCCCGAGTATTCTACATTAGACTTGTATTCATATTCTTCAGAGATCTTTTCAGTGATGAACTTCACAACATTGGGCGCTGTCAGGGACACGCGCTGAAGGCGGCGCCCAACGTGTCTGGGGCCGAGAAGATTGAACAGCACCTAGCTTGGGCTACAGGCTGAACAGGACTGACGTAAAAGCTCTACAAAAAGACAATACCATACACGGTATTTGCCATGCCAGGTTCCTGTATTTTCTTGATTTGCTACCACCACTTGTCAGCCACATGGGCAGCTGATTTGCATCAACAATTCAGGCCATCTCGAGATGCTCTATTTGTTCCAGCTGGCAGGGGAGTCAGTGGTGAGCAGGGTGTGTTCCGAGTGAGTTGAGAATCTACCACACCTCGCTTTGCGAGGTCAAAGGATTTTTCATGAGTCCTCATGAGTTGTGAGCAACCCTTTACCTTTCAGAGGTTGGCTTTTTGATACCAACAATTGTGCTGCTCCATATTGCTCCTTTCTCGCCTGGATCGGTTGCCCTTGTGGGACCGCTGGCCAGCAGCACCTCTGAGACTTTTATATACATGAGCTCTGTGCAGCTGCCCAGGTTGGGACAGTCGGGAGCGAGTGGACAAGACTGCTTCTGAACGGAGCTCAGATTTTCCAGTTACGTGGCATGGCAACATTTTTTCTCACCACGGATTTAGTTGGTCTCCGATTGAGTTTATGGACATTGTTGTTACATGTTGTTCCTATTTAGACGCAGCTTCATGCCCTCCGGTCTTGTGCCAGTTCAAGGCCCTGGAGGGCGGGCTGGACCGTGCCTATGAGTCTGTTGTCCTCTCTTTGGAGCCACCACCTCCACCACCGCGTGAGCCTTCGGTGTGGACGTGAACAGTGCATGGCCAGTTTGATAGCTCACTTGGAAGTGAGTGAAGACCAAGGGCACTTTGGAAAGATTGGTTCAAGATTTGTTTCATACCTCACTTGAACAAGACTCATGCACAAAGAAAACCGACTATTGTTGCCCCTTCGGCTTCGAAGCCAAGAGATGCCTGAGGCCTCCCACAGTTGTTTGCGATGACATGCAGGAGTTCCTCAAACGTTTGAAGCCCGGTGGGCAGAAAACAACATTGGGGCCTCTCGCAGACTGTGCTTTGCCGATGTTTGAATGTTACACCCTATAGGCCCTTAAGGCACACTTGACTCTTTTCTGTGTATTCTAACAAAGCAATAATAGCATATAATAGCCACAGAGCATTTCCTGAATGAGAATCGAGGCTCCGAAAAAGTGCTCCAGCGCATGGGTGCCGTGTCAGCTCGCAGTGACAAGGCAGGCCGTGCCTTTTGTTTCAGCAATCATTTTGGTTGAAAAAGGAGGAGCAAGGACACCACTAGGGGCTCCTGACCGTACTACTAGGAACAAGGACGCTACTAGGGGCTCCTGGCCGTACTATTAATAACAAAAAGCTACTAGGGGCTCCTGGCCTCGCTACTAGTAACAAGAAGCTAGTAGAAACAAAACATTTTCTGTGAACAGATTCTTCAGCCTCTCATCCCTCAGGCCAAAGCGACCCTGGTCTGGAGCCCTCAGAATTTGAAGTTGGGCCAAATTGAGGCTAGGGAATCGTAATGGACTCGTAATGGACTGTCCAACTACTCAAGAGTTGCAGACCTCAGAATTTGTGACACGGCTGGGCTTGGCCGGAATTGTAAAATTATTAACTAGCGTTTTGTACATGGCAGACTGAGGCTGGAGCAAGTCTTGCACTGAGCTTCCCACTCAAGTTTTCACGAGAACCTAGCGTTTGGTGAATGCAACCATGTTTATTGAAGACCTTGAATGGTCCGCACAAGCATCTAACCAAGTGCTCTTGTGATCATTTGAACGTCAACATGTTGAGAAACGCGTCATTTTGTCCAACGAGTCTCCGGCCACTCGGAGTCACTCGTCATGTTCGGCATCACCACGACAGAGGCCCGAAGAAGTCTCCGACAGAGCTGTCGGGCACAGGTGCGCCCCTTCGACCCGAATGGCGCAACGGCGCAAAAGGGAACACAGGAACAACCGAGTGAGCACCTTTTGGATCACAGGTGGCAAGCGTGGATCTATTGATCCAAAAGCAGGCGATGAGGGGCAGTGGGGAGATGATGGGAGCACACACTGACACGCTTGGAGCATGCTCAAGCTGGCTTAGTTTCATGTTTCTTCCCCTTTTCCCAGAGCAGGCTGCTAATGCTGCTTGAAGAGGATGTTTTTGATTTTGAAGAGCATTCTCTCGATGAGAGCGAATTCCAGCTGTTTCTGCGTTGGGCAAGGAATCGGCAAGGGCGACAACGCTTCTGTGGCGATGCTTCTTTGCAAGTGGTCAAGCGATGGCCTCCAACCTGCCAAGTCAGTTCTAGTAAATTCTGGATCTCTCTCAATAAGATCAATAAGTCACGAAAAAGAATAGAGTAGAAGGTAAGGCCTCCTTTGGGGGGCTTTGCCTTATTGTGTTTTCCCGCTGAAGCATGTCCAACGGCTCGGTTGCCATGTAGATTCCTTTGCTAATTTGAATTCTAATTGAGCTTAATGAAAGAAATGCTAATTATTGTTTCTACTAGCTTCTTGTTCCTAGTAGTACCCTTGTTACCAGAAGCGATGCCGGGAGCCCGTAGTAGCGTCCTTGCTCCTAGTAGCGATGCCCTTTGTTCCTAGTAGCTTCTATGTCCGGCTCGGTTGGTGATGAACAATGTGCCTTCTGGACAAGGCTTGCAGTTTCAAAGCAACAAACAACTCCGAATGATCAGCATCCTACCAGGACGTTTGTTAATTAGGTCTGTTAAAGTTGCTGACGCTTGGCAACAAGAACACTACCAACAAGAACTATTTCTTATCTCCGCTTTGCTGCTTCACTTTAGGATGTGAACTACCTTGTTTTTCCAAGGCATGCTTTTAATCCTTGTCTCTTTAATCTTTTATCAGCCGAGGAATTTCTTCCAAAACCTTCTCACGTTGCTCGGATTCAGACGTGTTTTTGCGAGCCTCCGGCTGCCGGGAAACGGTGGCAAACTGCGCAGTTTGAGCAGTTTTCACAAACCTCGGAACTGCAACGAGCGACGAAAGATGTTGATGGTTGGCCGAAGCTGGTCACAGACCTCGCCGGTTCGTGTTTCTGTGACAGGCGAAACTGGAAGTTACAAGCCTTCCGTCGCATCAGCAGAATCTTCATATGCAAGCTAAGGCGGGGTCAGACAGCAAACTTGGAGAAGCGTCCGCCTGGAACTGAGGTGTTCGGAATCGGGTTTGCGACACAGATTCAAGATGTCAATTTGTATGATGCCCTGTGGGATTCGAAGAATAAAGGTTTCCGAGTTATCTTACTGTGTTGAACCTTTTTGTGCCCAGGTCAACAGCAAGCGCGAAGGCAGGGCCTGCCACCTTTAACCCCTTTTGCAGCAGTCAAGCGAGCCATGTACAAGTCTTGACACCATGGACGTTTGGCTCTGTGGACCTTTGGCTCAAAAGAGACCTCAAGTAGAGAAAACCACAGAACAGGCCTGAAGCTGAGGTTTGGCCCGAAGACGCAGGGCATTTTCGCGATCAAGCGGTTGCTTTCACGCTGTCTATGCTGAAATACTTTGTGTTGTTCGGTGCCTTTTTCTACTAAGGCCGCCTTGATCTCGCACAAGACCTTAGCAGATCCAAAGCCACTGGGAATTGAAGTCAGATTATTCAGGACACTTCGAGTGGGGTAGCCTACTCAGGACTCCTTGAAGGACATGAATCCGTATGATATGTTGTATCCCTTTGTTCAACTGGTATGTCGGCTAACTTCGTTGAACGGTTTGAAACGTACTCCTCAGATTTTGAGATGGATGGACTGCCTGTCCCAAGGCCATGCAGCCTTGTGATCCATCCTCCGCCTTTTTCGGGCCTGGGGTGCCCAGGAGGATTGTGTGAAGCTGCTTTGATTCAGGCCATGCATGGCCCGTAAGCGACTGGCCTTTCCTTAGTCACAAGCGATAGAAGTCCTTGGTCACAAGCCATACCTTTCTCATCCTTTCTCCAGCAAATCTATCGCAAGGTTGTGCCCATTCACTGCACTAAAACAACACGGGAAGCGCTCAGCCATGTAGCTGGTAGTCTCAACACAACGGGGGAGTCTTGTGTATCCACGCGCCGATTCACTTCCTAACAGGTCAAAGATGACCCTCGGAATTTGGTCAACTAGTCAGTCGTGTAAACCAGACTCAGCTTCGCTCCATGTTGGCACTTTGCAGCGCTTTGCAGCGTGCTTCTCGTGCTTAGCTTCATGGGCGTGACCTCCGCGTTGGTCTTTGCCAACCTGGGTGCGGCCTACGGCACTGCCAAGAGCGGCGTTGGCATTGCCTCCATGGGAGTTGGGCGCCCAGACGTTCCAGTTGCGGTCCACAAGGTCCAGATGAAAACACCAGTTGAACGTCTGAACAGATGCAAGCAGAGGAAGATAGTGGAGCGCTCGTGCATGCTGGTGCTGGTTCAGAAATGCGTTACTCCTCGAAGAAATAGACTGGGAGCATGCATTGAGCATGCTCGAGCATGCTGTGTGCACCGCATGTGCTTAGGTGATGCGACCTGATATGATCATGAAGTCCATCATCCCAGTCGTCCGCGCCTGAAGGATTGGATTTCCAAGACTGATCACATTCGCAATTGAACGAAGTGTTGCTTTTGTCGGGTTGTAATCCTTGAACAACCCTCCCCGAAAACAGGTCCAATCGCTTTTTCATGAGCCATTTGGCATCGCCATTGGCAGGTTGCCTGCATCTTGGGATGGCGACCAGACATGGACCCGACTCAGGTCATGGCGGGTGTGTTGGGCATCTACGGCTTGATCACCGCCGTCAGTATAGCTCAGCGAACGAAACAAATGCAGCACAGATCACATTTTCACCTGCCATTTCTTTGGCCAAAGGGATTTGAATGGATTTGGTGCACATCCTTCCTTCCAACTCCCTTTTCCATTTCATTTTGGCTCTATCTAAATAATCGAAATAAACAATTCCAGCAAGCAAAGGATGTTTTCCTACCTACTCCCCTATTTGTACAGGCAGCTCTCTTGTGGAATCACTTAGACTCCTTTTGACTTTTGAAGCCTGATCAGAGGTCATCATCAACGGAAAGATGGATGCGGCAAACTACTCAGCCTACTCCGGCTATGCACACCTGGGTGCAGGTGGAGACGGGGAGAGAGGTGTCTGCTGTGCTGAGGGAGACGCCGAAGAAGATTCGACTTTTTGGAAGAACCCATCGTCACCCTTGGGGACTTGGCTATCTAACTAACTAGACTAATTAATTAGGCGGTCAGTGTTACCCTATGTTGCCCCTTTCTCTTGTTGTACTGCACTGTACTGCACTATAGTGCTGCACTGTACTGCACGGGCGATTGGCCCGTTTGAGGCCTCACAGTGGGCATGAGCTCCTTGGCTGCCGGCCTGGCGATCGGCATCGTGGGCGACGCGGGGGTCCGTGCCAATGCCCAACAGCCACGGCTCTTCGTCCGGGGTCCCGGGAAGATGGCATCACGGGTGGAGAGGTGCGAGACATCGCTCAATAGATGCGGAAGGATGCAAAGGGGGTTAGTAGATATGGGTGTTTTCTTGCTGAGCAGACCAGAACTTGCTCCAGGTCATTGATCAGAGTTCAATTAATTGTTGTTGAAAGACTTTGCCCATCAGGGCGAATTCACGAGGTGACACAGCGGAACTACCTAATTAAGCACTTGCAGTTTGCTTTGCCATTTCTTTCAGCTTCTGACAGGTCGGCATGATCTTGATCCTTATCTTCGCTGAGGCTCGATGGTTGCTTGGTTGCTTCCCTGCCTGAGTTCGCACTTGTTGTCACAACCTGTCCCAAATCCTTCACTTGGAAGCTATTCAAAGTTTCACTCGGCACCTACAGAGCAAGAAGAGCAAAATTGAAGAAGAGTGCACAAAACAATGTAGACGTTATTTGCTTAAAGGCTTAAAGTTAAAAGAAGGGAAACAAAGGAGGTAAGGCCCCCTTTAATAAAGGGGACAATGCACAAAAGTTGTGCCTGACCATTTTATTACTCTCGTTCAAAAGCTGAATACTCTACAAAGACGCTACTAGGAACAAAGGGCATCGCTACTAGGAGCAAGAAGCTACTAGGGGCTCCTGGCATTGCTGCTAGCAACAAAGGACGCTACTAGGAGCAAGAATTCACAATGCTCTTGCAGCGAGTTCACGAGATTTCGGCCAGGCCCTGGGGCTCTATGGCCTCATCGTTGGCCTAGTGGTGGCCTCCACTGCCGAGGGGAAAGGCCATGAGCTTGTGTCGATGGTCAGGATCAACGATGCAACAATCTGTCAGACTCGTTTCTTGGCCTTCGAACCTTTCAATCTTTCCAACTGGAAGCACTTTTGCCCTGTTTTCCGAGTTCCGGATACCGCTAGGAGGACTTGGTAGCGCTAGTGAGTGGGACGTCTAGACTCAGAGATACTTCTGTGGAGAGGTAGAGGCTGTGCACTTGGTTTGATTTTGGCTCACTCGAGGGCTCTCAAGGCTGAATGTATGGCTGACGGCCTGAGCTTAGCAAAGCGGGTGCAGCTCAAACACCCTGAGGAGATCAGTGTCGTTCGGTTGGAGGCCATCGCTAGTAGGTTGGAGGTCATTGCTATTAGGTAGAGAATACATAGAACCTTTTGCATGCATATGGAGTCCGACAAAATGTTGACCAGGGTTGGGCCATGATCCCCTGCAAGCATGCCAGGCAAAGGGCTTTGCACGCCCTACGCCTGAGGTATTCGGCACCGGTTTGCAGGCAGGAAGATATATGTATATCCATAAAGTCAGAAGTTACATATATATATATATGTACATCTACATGCTGCTGAATATGCATATCACAATGTTTGGCTTCAAAGGTTAGCCATGTTCTACCCTGGATGGCTACACACTCCACCTGACTCCACCATGCGGACACCGTCACGATGAAAATGAACACCTCAGAGCAATGTCATGACGGTGCCAAAGCATGATTTCCTTTTTTCACTACTGTCGTGGGCTATCCAATGACTTCAGATCCGAAGCCAGTCCATTCCCGTTGCGGTCAAAGCGGCTATGTAATGAATTTAATACGTCCAATGTCATTCTAGAATCGGATCAAATGGACACAGGACTCATCCTCCAGTCGATAAGTGCTTGGCTTCAATTGGTTCCTGAGCCTGAAATACCAATGTTTGGAACTAATTATGTGCACCGCATGGCCAGGATTTTGGAGCCTTGTGCTGAAGGTTGTGCCACCTGTTAGACGAGGTGGAACTCAGTTTTGGTGACCCCAAAGCTGCATTGTGAGCTTTCTTCTTTGCGGCGATGATGGTTTGAATTGCTGAAGCCCACGACATTCCAAGAACATGTTTTTCTTTCGTGGTGAGCTAGACTTTGGGCCTGACTTTGGGCACCTCATGTGGCAGGCCAGGCTGCCTGATTGCAGGTACTCGGATCTGACAGTGACAAGATGCAGACTGGTCCGGGGCGAATGTTGTGGTTCATTGTAGGGGTCTGACTGTGTCGAGATTTTGGGCGAAACTCAAAAGAGGTTGGATGTTTTGAAGGGATTGAATTAACTTAATATCAGCATTTAGCTGAGCAGGATGTAGCCAATAGCAAGTGTCATTTGGTTGATCGATGACAGATGCCCAACCCTGTGAAGAATGAACAGCTTGTCAGAGTGTCACTGGAGGCAGAACCGGCGGAGTATACATTGGCACCTACTGTAAGGCTTTTCAGTGCTTTTCACTTGATACATTGTTAGCAGTTGCTCTCTTGAAACCACCAAGAGTTGCGCCGGTGGATGTAAAAGCATCATCCATCTTCTTGCCCGATGGCACGTGTCTCTTGGTCAATCTGACTGTCGCTTGCGTGGGCACTTGGACCACAGGAGACTTGGAAATGGTGTCCAAAAAGTGTTGTGGCGGAACATGAATCTTACACTCCACAAAACCAACATGGACCCGGGTTGAATGGTACCCTCAAATACGGTTTTCCTCTACAAACCAGTGGTTTTCAGGGTCCATGTTAGTTTTCAGCGCGGTAATTATGGCCGTGTATAGCTGTAGGTGCATCTAATGAACACTGACCGTCTTGAGTCAACTTGAGTATGCGACACCGACACCGTTTTGCTCAACGGGTGACCGTCCACCTCGTGAGAAGGTGAAGATGGTGAAGTGACATGTGAGCGCGATGCGGCAGAAGCCAAGCCTTCACCATCTCAAGTCCATGCACTTTATGCTGCCTGCTTTCAGGCAGCATCTGAAAAGCCCAGCAGGACTCCAAGCAGTTATATGGAGGAGAAGCCACGGCCGTGTATCTTCGATTCCTAGAGTCACTTTCGAAACGAGAAACACTAGCAGTCACACTTCATGTGGAAAGTGAGCGTCAAGGGAAGGACGGAAGGACGAGACGTTGAACACCGCACGACATACGAGGTGAAGAGGTGACCCCCACGGCACCTGCGACACCTGCGACGGCACCTGCAACGGTGCCTGCAGAGACCGAGGCGAGGGAGATTGAGAACAAGGCAACCGATGAAGTATGATTCAATATGATGAAATCAATAAGATACGTATCAAAAAGGGATGCACAAATAAGACAACTCTTCAATCATTGCCAAACAGTTCAAGGACCATTAATTGGGCTCGCGATTCTCCAGGCCGAGGCGCCCAAGCCTGAACCCAGCAGGGAAACCCGAAAGAGGCAACGGTCAGCACGGCCGCATGCGGCTGTAGGGTAGCTTCAGAACGGTGTCAGGTTTATGTGTGATGTGTGTGGAAGAATTGACAGGTGGACACAGGGGGCACGGATGGGCACGGTCCACTACCTTTGTTTCTTTTGTCTCATCCTCACCCAAGGTCCAACTGCTTGAGATGATACTTTCTTGCTGAGATCTGCCAGTGTTGAGAGTGAAAACGGGGATGGGTACTCTGCCCATTTGGGAGCCTTGGAAGCCATGATGACTGAACAGTGAGTTCTAGAGCTTATCAAGCGAAAACCTCAGCAGCTTCAGTCTATGCTCGTCCTTCCTGAGTCAAAATCGCAGCGTTCCCACAATATCTGCTGCGGTCTCATGAAGATCATGAATTCGAAGTCATTTAGGTTCCTTTGCTACTAGGAGCAAAGGGCATCGCTACTAGGAGCAAGGACACTACTTACTAGTAGCTCCTGGCCTTACTACTCGGAGCAAGAAGCTATTAGGTAGTTTTCTGCTGGTTTTGCTTCGGCATTTAGTGACGGCAGTGACGGCACCGCTACATGTGGCCCAAGACGCCTCGCAAGACTCGCTTGGCGCTTGAAGGTGGGGTTGCCGTGAAGAAGCAACCAAGTAGTTTAAGTAGCTTAAGACATATAAATTTTAATTGGCAAATATTAGCAAGGAAGCTACTGATTAGGTTGGAGGCCATCGCTCTTAGGTTGGAGGCCATCGCTACTAGGCCGGGACGAAGAGCTCAGGCTTCAAGAAAGCTTCCCCCCAAGCGCTGGGAGGAGTTTGGAAGAACGTGAAAGCTGAATGTGGCCTTTGGGTCCGTGCCACCAGGTGGAGGGTCTCTTTCCCGGTTGCCCGCAGTCTTCTTCGGGGAAACCTAAGCTTCGATGGAATGGGACAGACCAGAGACGCTGAACATGCGCTGTGCTTTGTCAGGGAACCTCAGGATCTTCCTCGGCCAAGGCAGTGTCGCATCAGACCTCACACAGAAGACAGACCACACATGCAAACAATTGAAGACAGACAAAGAGCGGAGATCTGTGAAGACTGGATTTCAATGGACGCTACTAGGGGCTCCTGGCCTTACTACTACTTCGGGCTCCGGGCTCTTGGCCTTACTACTAGGAGCCAGGACGCTACTAGGGGCTCTTGGCCTTGCTACTAGGAACAAGAAGCTACTAGTGGCTCTTGGCCTTACTACTAGGAGCCAGGACGCTACTAGGGGCTCAATGGAGTTCTATTTGACGTTCTCTTTTTCGCAGGCAAGGCCTCAATTCGTTCCTCTAGGCGCACCGCGCTGCCTTGCCAGTAGTTCATTGGTCCATTCTGGTCCTGTGGTGTGGAGTTCTTGGGCTTGCCAGTGGTTTCGTTCTTTTCTTTTGTAGACTTTTTAAGTCTCTTTAATATAACCACCGAAAGGGTGAATACAAGGAAGTGCGAAGGGAGTTTCACAGTTGGAGAATTTTAATATATATTTAATGTGTTTTTTGCTGATAATTATGTATAGCTGCTATATAGTAGCGATGGCCTCCACCCGAAGAGCGATGGCCTCCAACCTACTAGCAATGTGTATTTAATGTGCTCTTTTTTGACACAGGAGATCATGCAGATCTTCATCAAGACCTTGACGGGTAGAAAGACCAACTTCAATTTTGAGCTGGACGGCGGATGGATGGGGGACACGTTGAGATGAGCCTTGCTGGATACAAAAACGATCAAACACTGTTTGCTTTCCAGCACTTTGGGGTGAAAACTAGCTCGACTTTTCTAGTGGAGCAAAGAACGCTACTAGGGGCTCCTGTCCTTTCTACTAGGAGCAAGAAGCTACTAGGGGCTCCTGTCATCGCTACCAGGAACAATGTTCACTATTAGAAACAATAATTCAATAGAATGAAACGGATTCCATCGTGTGATGACTCGAGGCGGTCCTTGAAATTCTCATTGGTGTATCTCACCGTGTGACGCGCCAAACCGCCAGGACAACACCGTGCGACATGTGAAAGAAGCACTTCAGGAGATTTGTAGACTCGTCTTTCGTGGCCAACGAGCCTCTTTCTGATGCATTTACGTGCTCAATCCGAGTACGTTGCCGTGGGCTTTCTACATAGGTCGGACTGCAAGCCGCGATCGCTCTCGGCCTTGCAGGAGAAGGAAGGCATCCAGGTTGAACAGTTCCTTGGATTCGATATGATGCGTAGGTTGGAGGCCATGGCTACTAGGTTCCTTTTTGTATTTATGTTTTGATCAATGAATGATCAACGCCTTTGGGCTTCGTCCTGATGCACCCGTGTGCAGTTGCTGACCTAGCTGTTTCGTTTCTTTTTGTCGCATGCAAGGATCCGTCTGATTTACAGCGGAAAGCAAATGAGCTGGGCACCAAGTACAGAGGTGCAAGACGTACAGCTTTGAACCGGTTTGAAGGCGCAAGTTTCTTCTGTTTCTTTGAGGCAGCAACATGAAGGGACTATCGCATGCACAAGAGGGCCACCCCACTGATTTGGTATCCAAAACAGTCACGACAAGCAATCAGCAGTGATAGACCTGGTGACAGACCTACAAGATCTACAAGTCATCCCGGTTTGACCGTCACACGGTGACCGCTCTGAGGTGATGAATGCACTCTGAACGACTACAACGTGAAGCCTGGCAGCACGGCCGGGAGCCTCGAAGAGACAGTAGCGGTGGGCGAAGTGGAAGATGTGCTTTTTTTTTGTTTTTTGGGGGTTATATTATATTATAGAATATAATAGACGTGTAAAACACGTTGAAGGGTTCTAAGTTAGATGGACAATGTACGGAATCTGGCCCACGTTCCGACTTAAAGGAGGCTGAATGAAGGAGGATTCTGTGGATGCGGTGGATTGAATTACTTGATTGCTGCAGCTTCCCCGCAAACAAATCGACTTGGGGTCAATATGATCATGCCGAAGCCGATCTGGAATTCTGACTCTCCCAAAGTGAAGAAACAGAGCCGAAATTAAACGATTTGAAATTAATAATGAATGTTTGGAGCAATGGAAATGAAAGGAACATGAGA